CATAAGTACTTTTCTCTCTCTCTTTTTCATTTTTATTCTATTTTGTTTTGTTTCTTTGGATTCAAGGCAGAGTTGTTTCAACAATATGGTGGTGTGATGCCTCTAGCAACATGTCTAAACCACAGTCAAGCAATCAACAAAGTAAGCTATTCTCCTTTTAATGGAAGTTTTGAAAGTTATTTTATGTTCTTTAGGTGGTGGCACAAGCTCTAGAGAATGCAAAAGTGAAAGAGTCAAAACTTGCAAGAGTAGCTATGACAATTGGTCCTGGCTTGAGTTTATACTTGGATAGTAACATTCTTTGTGATCTTCCTAGGCTTATTGTCATGCCCAATGTTGGGAGTTTGCTTGGCATGTAGTTTCTCAGCCACTAGCACCAGAGGAGGGGCATTCACAAGTCACATAATTCTTATTGTGGCAAATTTACATAGTTATTAGGATGGTAAAATTTTTACTTTCTTTACCAGGTGAATTCATAGGTGTAGAGATTGGGACATTAAGTGCTAAGTGCTGGCCAGACTCTAATAATAGGTTCTATCTCTTGCTAATTGTGTTGCCATGGTGATGGAAATGCGGTATCAAAAGATTTTGGGTTATCTAGATGGCAATACATAATGCTTTTGCTAATCTAGCCAATGACAAGTTGTATTGATAGATTATATGTCTTTGGTTGCATCACTAGATCAAAATCCAAAATTGGTAGAGATTTGAATTCTGTTTAATGGGTTACCCTAAGAGAGTGAATATTTTTTATGTAAATAACTTTATTATAAATAAAATAATCAGCTTTACCTAAACTTATTCAAAAATCTTTACATATTTTAGGTCAAAATTAAATTTTATAATATAATTTAACAGTATTTACAAATATAATTAAAAAAATTATATCCTGTACAAATGGCGTATCTAAAATATATAAAACCCAACACTAGGTGATGGTATATCAAATGTGGGTTAACTTAGTTTTATGAATGTATAGAACCATAATCAAAACTTCAAGTGTTAATACAGAAAAATTAAACAACTTTAACAATAATATTACATATTATATTTTATATGCAGCCTTAGAAAATATTACTGTTTAATCAAATACTGCATATATTATCTTAGTTTTTTTTTTATAATGAGCTAGATTGTAAATATTTTTCCTAACTGCAAATAAAGTTTATTAGTACATAATACTATAAAATATAATATTTGAATTTATAGTTTCTATATGTACAAATAATTATTTTCTTGACTGGATCTGGGTAGAAATATGTTAATGTTCCTAAATACTTATTGTTTTATATTCTAAGTAAAATGCATAATTAAGTAATATCTTGCAGTAATTATTCTCTTTTTTTTATAAAATTTTGATATAAGTTTATTCCAAGAAACAATATAGTTTACATATAGCATATTGTTAATAATAAAAAATTCATTTTTAATTTTAAAAAAAAATATTTTTAAAAGAGAAGTGTATTTTTTAAAAATATTCATATTTCCAAATAATAATTTTTATCTAATATTTTTATTAATGAATATTTATAAGAAATTATCCAGGCATTTGTACCACTCCCCTCTTGTTCAGCTCTACAGGAATGGAAGGGTAAATTTTGATAAATTTTATGATTTTGTTAGTAATTTTCTTGTAATAATTTTGGATGAACCAGGATCTTGAGCAATCATGAAAAAAGTATTAATTTAACTAGTTCTATGTTGGCAAGTTGTAAATTTCATACCTTGAAAATCTATTTAAAGTGATGTCACAAGTCTGCAAAACTCTCTATGTAAAAGCAATCAATATTATCCAGCCAGTAAAGTATATTGGACCTCAATATATATCATTGCATAGTACTTCCCTTGTTGAGGTAGCTCAATTGATTCACCATATAATAAAAGAGTTAGCTGCTAGTGATCTTTGCAGCAAGCAAGACAATGCGATTGGCTCACCTGTAAATGTTTATGCTTTTCAGCATTGTCCAATGGATAACATGGTTGCTTCCCTAACATTAATTGATAGCCTAGTTATTCTAGCAAATATAAATGTGGAGGACCAGCCTATCAGATAACACTTCCACATGCCAAACTGTTGAGCTAGAGCTTGAGATTGAGCATCTTGCTCTACTGGTCTTGCCAAGGTTCAGGTACACTTCTTCACT